GCTCTTATACTACTGAGCTATCTCCCCGGCCCAAGAATCGTTTTATTTCAAAGCATAAATGACTACATTAAGTTTCTTTCTCTCTTTCTTTCTTGATTTGATATTGGGGATTGAACTCAGAACCTTACACTTGCCAAGCAGGCACTTAAGCCACTGAACTAGCTCCTAGGTATGACTGCATTAAATTTCATGTTTTGTGAAGAAAATAAATTACAGCCTAATACTTCATTTAAACAGAAAAAAAAAAAAAAAAAAGACTGACATACAAGAAGTTTAGCTATTGGGAGCCAGCAAGATAGCTCAGCAGACTAAGCCAAAGACTGGGGTTTGATCACTAGCACAACATGCCACACTGGCCCTACCCCAAGACCAGGCATGGTGGTGCATGCCTGTAACAAAGGCCAGCACTGGAGAGGCTGAAAACAGGAGGATCACTGTAAGCTCGAGCTGCATAGTGAGACCCTGTACAAAATACATAAATTAAAAAAATAAAAGTTTAGCTCTTGGGTCCGATGAAGATTAAAGGAGAACTTATTGTTATGAAAATATGGACACATTATCCTGATACGTAGCTGCCTAAGTATGTGAACTAGGATTTTCAATTTTGATGTACTGCAAAATAAAATCAAAGATCAGGCTCAACACCAGGCCGTATGTGTTATGGGTCGCTCAGTGGAAGAACCAGATCAGCCAGACTGGAATTTAAAAGCGCCTTTATTACTGAGCTCAGGACTGTCAGTCAGTTCTCACACAGAAGCCTGAACAGCACCTAGCCCAAGAAGTAAGGGGTTTTTAAAACAAAAGACCATATCCTGTTCAGTAAAATAAATCCATCACCTGACACTGAACAGCACCTTCAAGGGTCAGCCAAATAGCTCAGCGGATTAAAAGGCCTGTGCAGGGGCTGAGGGTTCGATCCCCAGGCCTGCTGTGCTGGCCCCACCCCCGGGGCCGCACTAAGAAGGCAATTGAGACTGGGTGTGGTGGTGTGCGCCTGTAATCCCAGCACTTGGGAGGCCGTAAACAGGAGAATCACTATGAGTCCGATCTAGTAGTGAGACCCTATAGACCCTTCCCTAAAATACAAAAAAAAAAAAAAAAAGGAGCAGCATGCTCATTACCTTGATCATTGTTCAGTTCCCATTTATCACGCATCTGCACAGGTGCAGTTTTGCACAAAGGTCACAAGGAGTTAAGCACATCTAGCTGCTCTTAGACGACATCTCTTAAACTGACTATGCTTACAGGAAGTGGTTAAGGAGGGAGCTTATCCTAGTAAAACACCAAGAAACAGTCTCTAGTTACTGAACAACTTTGAACAGAGGGCAAGTTCACATTCTTTACCCAACAGAAAGCACAAGGTTTACAATTATAGTACAAAATTTAGTTAACCTATTACATTATGTTTATGTGGTAGGTCTGTTGTGGAAGAAGTCTAGGAGCACGGCATTAACCACAAGCTTTCCTAATTTGCTTCTGTATCATTTGCACTTAGGTTTCTTTGAACATGATAGTATAAGTGTTTTCCTATTATATTGTTTTTACTCTATCTTACACAATAAACGTTGTGACACTCATACTTGACGTATCATATCTGTGCATATATATGTGTACACTGGGGTTACAATGTAAATCCTATTTTTACTGTCAGTTGTGGTTCCAAAAGCCAGAAAACAGTGGTTAGAAGATAGCAGAAGTGGGCTGGCCAGATAGCTTAGCGGACTAAAGCACCTGCTTAGACAGATGCAGGGATCAGGGTTCAATCCCCAGTGTGCCATGCTGGCCCCACCCCCTGGGCCCGCTGAGATGGCGACTGAGACTAGGCATGTTGGCACATGCTTTGCAGGCTGAAAACAGGAGGCTCACTAGACCCTGTACTAAAAAAATAGCAGAAGAGCTGTGTGAGGTGGTGTAGGCCAGCTTCAACTACACAATAGGATCCTGTCTCAAAAAGACCAAGCAAGGACCTCAGCCTGCAGTCTTCAGGCTAAATTGTGAAAGATATTGAATATGATTGTAGCTATAAAGCTTACTTTGTAGGTAAACTGTAGCATAGCGAGGTTAGAGAATGGCATGTCTTTTAAGAACATCAGGGGTAAAGCGGGCGCACGCCGGTGATCCTGGCGCTTGGGAGGCCGAAAACAGGAGGATCACTATGACTCCAAACTGTGTAGTGGGACCCTGTATTGAATAGAGAAAAAATAAAAGCGGAATTCTAAATATTTTGCCACAGGTGTGACGACCGACGCTCCTCCCCACTCTAATGGTTCACTCTGTATTCTTTCACCACCAAAATACCACCACACCCTCCTCCCAAGTTTGAATTCTGTTGATTTCAGCAGTTCGCGCGGACTAAGTTTTCCAGCTGTACCGCGCAGCTCAGCGTTTCCCGACCTGCCTTCCGCGGCCAGGCGGGGCAGGCAGGAGTAGGTCCGGGACGCCGAGGGGCGTGGGAGGCGAGTGGCGCGGCCAGGAGGGAAGCCTGAGGGGCGAGGCTCGCCGGAGACAGCCTGCTCGCCGCTTTCCCAATACTTGGGAGTTACGGGGACACCGGGCGCCGGCACAGCTGCCAGGGCGCGCGTCCTTCTCCTTTCCCCGACCTCTGCCTCGCACACTCAGATGACACCACCACCTCCTGCGGAGGGCGGCACGCCTGTGTCGGGCGGGACCCGACGCCATGGCTAGGTCGGTCCCCCGCACGACCGCCGCTGGGCCAGGGAGAACCCCAAGCGCGCCCCGGTTTCCGGGTGCGAATAGGAAGCTCATTGGGAAACCCCAGGCCCCTCCCTCGGAGCAAAGGCTCAGACGGCGTCCCTGTTTCCAAGGAAACAGCCCAGTGCCGTGACGTCACTTCCGCCAGCCTGTCTGGCCTCCAGACTGTTGGGAGGAAAAGAGGAAAACGGAGCAACAGCCACGACAGTGGACGCGAGCGTCTCCTCTTTGCGCATGCGCCCGCTCAGCGGCCTGCTTCTATTTATGTGGGGGATCCAACATGGCGGCCGCGGCGACCCTGACGATGGCGGTGGAGCCCATCAGAACATAGTAGCGGGGAAGGGGACGCGGTCGGCACTCACGGTGGCGTCGGCGGAGACGTCTGAGGGCGGTGGAGGGCAGAGAAGCGACGGAGTGCGGAAGGAAGGGCGGGCAGGCACGCGGCGCGGCGTAGAAGAGAGCGCCGGCTCGAGCGCAAGCCGAGGGCCAGAACAGTGGGGATGGCGGAGCCGCGGCGAGTAGCGTTCATTAGCCTGTCACCGGTAAGGCGGCGCGAGGTCGACTACCTGGGCGCCGAGCGCGAGCCCGAGTACCCCCGCGATCCTCCCCGGCTGGAGCCGCAGCCGTACCGCGAGCCGGCCCGGGCGGAGCCGCCGGTCCCCCGGCCC